TACTCATGTGATGGAAGGGCTCAGAAACCAAACAGGTGCTGGTGAGGGAATGCAGAGGATTAGTAGCAGCAGAAAGCTGCCCCCACCCCTTGGGCTGGACTAAAAATGGGAGCAGGCACTGATGGTATAGCTCAGAAACCAGAGGCTTCTGCTGAGCGGCAGAGCATCAGAGGGCCGCTGAAACCTTGGAGAGAGGGTTTGTCTGGCAAGAGTTGGTGCCACGGCAACACTCAGGACCTAGAAACCAGAGGGCAAAAGACCCTGGGGATAAGTATAGTTCTCTGCGATACAGAACGGAGTGGGGAGGGGCGGGAGGGAGCAGGAAGTGCATTTGTTATTGCCACACTCTGTATGTTAGTCCTTGCTGCCATGACTGTATTTCTGCACCCCTCTCATTTCCATTACTGGACCATGCCTTCCTGTCTGGGAGCCTTGCTGTGCCTCCATGTTAAATGAGTGCCGTGTCCATGCAAAATAGCATCAATGTAAGTTTGCTCAGCAATAAAAACAAATGGCAAGTTATTTCACATTAAGAATGGTTTGTACATATTAACTAGATGCTACAATGAGAAACCTCGATGTGGAGTGTAATTTAGCTCCCTCTCGGAGCCGCATGTCACACCCCGTGTCACACTTCGCCCTGTTGAACACTGCCTTATGCTGTCCCCGTACCGTGGGCGTTCAGTACGTGCCGACTAGAGACTAGAGACAAAAACCGCTCCCTTAACAGAACATAGTTTGTCGAGAACAATTCTGAACGTTTGGGGATGGATGGTGGACAAGGGAAAGTGGCCATTATAGCAAGAACATGCTTTGAAATGACATCACCTAGAGGTATTTGTTTTCGTCATTAAGGATGTAGTGGAATTTTGCCAACAATACTAACCTGTCATTCTTGTGACTACTTAGTGTCTTTCTCACTTCGCAAAAATGAGCTAATGTGATGACAGGATGAAAACAGGTAGGTGGGAGACTGCCGGGAAGAGCAGCAGCATTTGTTAACCGGAAGAGGAAGAGAGCAGGTTCAGGTTCAGTGTTTCTTACGTGATAATGGAAATTTCAAACGGTAACTTAAGTTGCAAAACAACCTTTATTCTGTTTGAGGACCCAATACAATGCATCGAAGCAACTTAAATCAACAAGACATAGCTCCACTGAATCTATAGCTTGAACAAAATGTCAAGGAGGCACACTCCCCCCACCCCCCCCACCCCAGTTGCCTTGTAAAGGCAGAATTACAACTGACCATGACATCCTCCCTCTCGTCAAAAGACCAACTTTATTTTAACAATGTCATATAAACAGATTTGTAAAAACATTGAACAGATTGTAGCTTTAAAAAATACACACATATAAATGAGTTTTTTTGTTTTGCCTTTTTTTTTTTTTTTTTTTAAATAGCAGCATCCTGGGCAGCTAATGCTATCTCATGGTGACAAGTTTAATGTTAAGTTGGATAGTGTTTCCAATGAACCCGATTCTGTTCCCTTGCTACTCATAGTACTAGTATTTTATACAACTGGATTTTGTAAAAAATAAGAATTTGGCATTTTCGAACTTTGTCCCATGTGAGGCATTGTGCTTTAAACTGCCCCTTTCTTAAAAGAGCCTGAACTCAGATTTCAGGGTCTGCTTTCCAACTACTTGGATACCATGCATAGCAAAAGCACAGGTGTTAAAACCAGCAGAATTTTTCTCCCATTAAGGAACATCAGTAGAACTCCCAAACACGTTACTAGTTCATAACCAGCTATATGACAAAGCACTTGGTTCCCCACAGTGACAGCTCACACAAACACATTTTGACTCGACACACTGAAAATGAGGGTTTCCAAGTTAAGCGAGTCATCCAGACCAGCTCACTGAAAGGAGAAACTTTACAAAGCAGAGAAAAGCCAAAGAATTATGAACTTCTCACTTCACTTGCCAACAATTTTCACCTTTAGAAGACAAAACAAAGCAACTAACTTCAAAGGAAAAAAAAAAAACAACCCATACACATACACAAGAGTTGTACTAGACATGTGCTTGTTATGTACTTGAACTCAACGACTGTGGATCTGTTTGTTTTGGCTGAAAGGTGTACTGGAAACAGTCCATGCACATATACATATATACATCTATCAAGGGCCGTGAACTTGTCAGATGTTGCAAACACATGCTTTTTGCCTTCTCACAGGGTTAGGATTTTTCTCTTGTGGGTGGCATCGGGTCCCCGCGCTCCCACTGCCCAGCCCCCTCACAGCCTCGCTGCAGCTAGCTTAGCCTCTGGATGCTGCAGCGCGTGGGGAGAAATCACTACGTGCATGAAAGCATGTTCTCAGGAGTGCCTCTGCTGTATCCATTCGTACTCACGAGGCACTCTGTTATGAGATGACCAATCGAAGCCCAAGAGCTCTTCTGGTCAAGCATGTAGAAGGACGAATGTGGTGGGCATGCTACGCGCAATCCAAAAGGCATTTGGCAGAGGCGTGACCTCATGGCTACAGTGTAACTCACTATAAACAGGGAATGACGAAGCCTGCCTTGGCTGTTCAGAGAGAACCCTACTGCACTATGTCTGTGAGATGCAAAACTAAGGCAGGTGCCTAGAGACCAAGCCATCTCGGGAGAGTGGTGAACCAAAAACGTTAACAAAACTATCTTTTAATGAAACATTCCATCTAGCTCAGATCTTGTATTTTAAATGTGAAATGAAAATTATACTTAACAGCATCCATGGTTGTGCTACCAAAAAGACCCCACCAGGACGCTAGCTTATAAACCACTCTTAAAGAAGCGGCAGGCTTGCGTGGGAAGTGGAAGGACAGTTTTCAAGGTGACACTTACAAGCAGGGCAGTCCTCAGTCGTGTGGCGATGGGAGGGAGACGGTCTGGTCAGTGCAGTCAGGTCTCAGGGCTGACAGTCTGGCCGTAAGACCGACATTCTACAGTTGATGAAGTCAGCTGCTGCACCGGTTACTTCAAAAGAGTTTTTAAAAGGAATTACATTGCAAACCACAACAAAAAGCCCTCCCCGGAGTATCTAGCTGAAATAATAAAGCTGTGGCGGCTGAAGCGATCCTGGCAAAGGAAAACTGCACTTGTGAGACTCCACTGGAAACTGCCAGGGTCGGGACTGTCACACTGATCCTTTGGCCCTCCCCACACACGGACGCTTGCCGCCACACAGAACGGACTGGGCATGTGTAAATCCGGGACAGAGTCCCTCTGGCCCCAAGTTGGAAAGGATGCTCTAAGACCCCCGCCTTTCCCCCACGCTGAAGTGGAAACCGTACACTGACTTGGATGAACCAGAAGGACTGTTGGGAATCCCTGCAGTGGCCGTGACTTTACTGAGCTCTCCACAGCCCGGCGCAGGAGCGGCCCGGAGCATGGGTATTGGCCTTGTGGTCTCAGTTGAATGGGAAGGTAGGAAAATAACAAATGTGCAGATAAAAACCTTTTTTCAGGTCATGGCTTTTTCTGAAAAATGAATGTTTATTGGTTGTAATGGGTAATCTCATGTTAAAAAGAGACATACATTCTAAATGCAGTGATTATACCGTGCAGTGTTCCAAATAAAGGTGAACGCCGCCCCAGGAGGCTGACTTTCTTCCTACGAACTACATTATCTGACCCACCGCTACACTGCGTTAGAGTCCCAGTCGGTCTGTACTTGTCATTAAGGTATAGTAAGTAAGTAGCAAATTAGAGTGGGAAAAGACCGAAGGAGAAGTTACTCACTTCTCCGTAATCATGAGAAAGTGCATACCATCTCGCCACCCCTCCCGCCACCCCCACCTGTACATCCCTTTGCTACATCGCCCCGCCCCCAGATTCAAGAAGTTCACAATTCTTTACGAAACAAACATTACCAGGTACCGTATTTTAAGAGTCTCGAAACATTGTTGAACTCAGCGATACTTTGTCATATTTCTCTATCATCTTTCTTTTTTTTATTGAATAAAGCAGCTTTGAAGCTTATCAGGCACTGCCCAACAAAACATTTAGTCCAAAAAATCTGTTATGAACTTTTTAACCTTGGGCTAATAGCCAAGTACTCTGTACAAGAAAAACTGTAAAATATTTCATAGTTCTGAAGCCTTTTTTTTTTTTTTTTTACTGGCATCCTGTACATTTCTTTTTTTAAAAAAAGGAGAAGAATCACAAACGAATATTAACAAAAAAAAAAAAATCAGGGACAATATTTTCAAGCAACAGAAAATGGGGCGGGGGAAGCTTATTCTGAAGGTACATTTAAAACAGGTAACAATGACAATTAAGAATTGCATAGCACTTTGTATTTAGCCTTCAGCAAAACAAAACAGAAGCTATTTGGTATTGATACAAATCTATCTATTTGATAGTTAGTCATCCACTGTTATGTACATATTTTATATAATGAATGTCATTTAAAGTCCTGTTTTCCAAGCTCCGTTGTTTTTTCCGTTGGTGGGGTCGTTTATTTGTTTTTCAAAGTCTAAACAAAACACTTTCTGGCACTCTGCTACAACAGAATTTCCTCTGAACATACGTGAGCCGATGTTCTCCCAGAATGTCTCTTGTGAGCCGAAGTGCCTTTCTGCTACATATCGTTCATCTGTTAGAAAAGGAACTAATCCACAGTGCCACGTGCCTGGGTCCACCGTGCCCAGCAAGGCCCAGGCCCAGCCAGCCTGGCGCGAGTGCTCGCAGGCCGGGGCTCTGGAGCCTGTCCACCCTCTGGTCTCCAAGGTCCCCACTTTGAGCTGGTAAAGCTTCAGAAAGCATGAACAAGCACCATGGTTAAAGGCCTCTTTGTCCCTGCACGCAGAGATTTTTGCATGTCTTTTTCTCCTTGTGTTGTGTGTTGTTGTGGCTTAAATTAAACCCAAAAAAAAAAAATTAAAAAAAAACCCAAAATAAAACCAACAAACAAAAAAAAACCCCCCAAAACAAAAGGAAGGACAAGCGCTCCAGACTAGAGACGTAGGGTCACCGCACGGTGCTAGGCTGCGTGTCTTCCCCTCTACTCGTTTGTCCCATCTGAAGGCAGATGGCTTCGTTTCCGCAGCTCGATGACAGGTCAGGCCGGAGAGGAGCCCTGTGCTTTGCAGAGGCCTCAGGGTGGCTGAAGGTCAGGAGCAGGATCCGAGGCCAAGCTTCATCGTCTCTGCTGCGCGTACACCGGGTAGGCCAGGGTGACGTTGAGCGAGTCATTGTGCTGCACGAGGGACGTGTGCTGGTAGTGGAGCACCAGTTCCTTCAGGGAACTGTACAGGTTATAGGGCTCGGCGAAGCCATAGCCAGTGGCCGTTTTGTTGATGACACAGTGCTTGACTTCGCCGTCCACCCTGCAGAGAAGAGAGAGAACACAGGCCTTTTGAGCCAGTCCTAGACAAGTCCCGACTCCACGAGGTGTTGCTCATAAAGTCGTCGTTGTCATGCAAAAGTGCACTCTGCGGGCCATTCTCCAGGAGGGGATGCCTCCCGGGCGAGCCGTCGACTCGTGGCTCTGTCACTCACGGGGAGAGTGCTGTGGGCTGGTAACAGCCTCACTGAGCCACTGCATTTGCAACTTTAAAATGGTATATATTTAACACGGTCGCTTTGAGAAGTGAGATCACGCATACGACGGACTTGACAGAAGGGCCGGGGCGCGGGAAGTGCAGCAGCTTCCCGCCATCCCGAGCGGTGCTGGTGTGACGACGGGGGCTACCCCACCACTGGTATTCGTCGGAGTCTTGCAGGCTAGCCTGTCACTCCGCTTTCGCCCTATGTTCTCCTATTCTCCTGGCCTTAGCTCAAAGTTCTTCCTTCCTCTTTCTTGTAGGATTTTTTTCTCTGCTTAAATGGAAAGAGATCACGAATATGGTGTATTTTTAGAACCTCTCCTTCCTAGAGGACACTCCCTTTTCTGAAATGATAGGAGGGGGGAATAGTACGAAAAGTAAAAGGAAAATATGCCCTATGACGGAAATGTCTTCTCTTGGGTGCCCTTGCTCTCAAGGGCAGTGACATTTCTCTTGCTGTTCTGACCCGTTCCTGCTGTGGACCTGACCTGTGGGTGGAGCTCTCGTGGGAATTACCTCACATTCTAATGCTATTAGCCTTGGGAGGTTAAAGGGGGGGTGGGCAAGTACTGCTAGTTCCATTGTAAAGATGAAAAGATGTGGACTTGTGATTAAGTGGTTGGTGAAACAGGACCCAAACCCCAGTCTTTGACCTCCACGGCAGGTTTCTACGCTTCTGCCTAGACTTGAAAAATAGCCTGTCTTCTTTCCTGTTCTACACCATTGCACTGTGAGGTTCTTCCAGACGGGAACTTTTTCAAATCCCTGCCCCAAGCTCGGTGGCTGAAGGAACGGAAGCAAGCGACACGGCCGGGGCTACGTACACTACGGAGCAGGCGTAGCAGCCCTGTTTGCTGCTCTCCCGGACCAGGAAGGTGCCGTCTCGTTTCCCTCGGAGTAGGTTCTCAGCTTTGTTTCTGTTGCTGCTGCCCACATTCCAGGTCTTCTCGTCGTGGTGCGGCAAATCCTCATCGTCTTCCACCAGCGAATATTGGCTAGAGAGGGAGGAGAGAAAGGCTGTCCGTGAAGCAGCGGGGACGGCCCCGCCGGCCTTTTCTCAGGCAGCCTAGCCTTCAGTGTGACCTCCCTGGACCAAGAGCACCGGTAAGGTAAACTCTGGCTCTTTTCGAGCCAGGCACTACATTGAGGTACCTGGGCAGAGAGGAAGGTATCAACCAATCCTGTTTGTCCAGTTCAGATCAGGAAATGTATTGACTAGGAGGACTGCCAGTTTTCAAATAATTCAAACAAAACATCTACTTAAGCTTTGTGTCTGTTTTTTTTCCCCTCCCGATTGTTTGAGAAACACATGGGGAGTTTTCAGGGGTCCAGGGCCTTTGCTCTGGACACAGGGTCATTTTACAGCAGGCGTTGGAGAAAAACTAGATCGCCATCCCCCACTCCCTGAACTTTCCTTTTTTAACATTCTGGATAAAGAGACGTGGCTTATAGAGGATGTTCCAAATGCGGTAAAATTGCTCACTTTTCCGCAAACAAAGCAAGTCATGCGTTTCCCTAAAATGAAAAAACCTCCTTTGCTGCCTCCCACCTGCAGGCAGTACTTACTCTTCCGTATTTTCATTGCCCAACCACTCATTCAGCTTCTTCTGCCGAACACCTTTCTGAGTCAACCACCTGGAAAACAGAAAAGGAAAACGCATTAATAATGTATCCTTAATTTTTGCAACTATCAGTTGTTGGCTTTCAGGGTTCGGCTTTCTACTTACATCAAGTATTGGTCTCTTGTCTTTCTCAGCTGAATGAGGTCTGGTTTAATGCTGTTCATGCGTTTGTCAATCTCCCGGTACTCAGCTGCCTGCTTCTTCAAGTCTTCCTCCAGTCTTCTTCGACTGTCCACAATTTCACTGATTCGGGACTTTAACTTCTCATAATTATGCATAATCCTAGAGGCAGGAGAAAGGCATGGGTCACTACCTGCTTCATCATGACGGTTTCCCAGGACTTTTCCTCAGGTAAAGAATGCTTTCTAGGGCTGTCGTGGTGGTTCTTTTTTTTTTTTTTTCTTAAATTATTCAAAGCACAGAAAAAGCAAGATCATCTTTCAGCAGTTCTAGAGGATTTTGGTTATCTTTAGCACAAGGACAACCCTCATGATTCACCCACCTTTGTATCTCTTTCTCATTGCCTTCACGTTTAAATTTTTCTATGTATTCTTTGCTGTACCGTTCCTGACTTTGGCACTGTTCTTCAAATATCTTTATGGTTTCATTAAAGGCTTCAATAGCTGTTCTTTTCATTTGGATTTCCTACAACACAATGTTTAATAAGACAATGTCATACCTTTCATAGAACAGGTAATGTGTTACCGTGAGACACTGTCAGGGCATTTGACGCTATTACTTACCGAGCACGTAAGTACTCGGTTAGCAAGCAAGGCCTCTCATTCATAAAACCCATTAAAATAATATCACAGAAGCACACATTTCTCTTGGGAATTTTCCCAGTCTGTGAAAGAATACTGTCTGACAACTGCCTATAGTTTTCATCATTTTAAAAGTCCTTCCCCTTTATCAGCAATTTAAGGAATCCACGTTGCCTTCTACTCCCTCTGGTGGTCCTAGATACATCACGGCCTAGAGAAGATTAAGCCTCTAGGAAAATACTGCAGTAAATGGAGCCTCTACTTTTTTATGACAGGGTATGTAATAGTTAAATCCCCATTTTGGAGGTTACACAAGTTTGGGGGAGGGGACTTGTTCAATCAGGACTTATGTCAAATCCACTTAAAACTCACAGCAACCTCTTCAATTATCATGATTACTTATTATTCCAAAGTCTGTAAGAGCTTCATTGAAAAGCTTATAGAGATACCATGGTCTAGAGATAACTATGAATAATAAAGAGTGTTTCCCCCCACCTGAGTAGAAGGTCTACACATCTTAGATTCTAGTAACTAAAAGTTCTGAGACTATAATGTGACGTTCGCAGAAAACTCACCTGGGAAGTACGGGTATAATCTTCATATAATCTATCATATTCCCGACTTTTTTCTTGAAATTGAGCGTTATATTCATGTAACTTCTTTCCTACAGCTTCAATATTATCTTCTTTGACAACTTGATCCTGGAAGAATTAGAACTTCAGTTGATGGGGTATTTATAGTCAATGTTTTGGCCATTATCAAACTGTACTAAAAAGTTGTTAAAACCTCACTACGTGCACTTCATCTGCTTCACCATGCTTTCTAAACATTTGTAAGTATCTTGTCTCAATACTGTAACGTGAGTATTTCAGTTTGGATTACCTGTTGGTATTTGGATACTGGATAAAGTAACTTCACGTCCAGTTTGGGATTATACTGAGCTAGGGACTCGTTCCGGTAGTGGTTTATTAGTTCAACCACGGAGTTGAACGTCAGTGGGTCAGAGAAGCCATATTTCCCATCTCTGTGAAATATTTTGATTAATTTGTTATTTCCTCCTTTCCTGTAGATACAATAAAATAAATGGCATTATAATAAAAGTAATGGCATTCCAGTCTCCTCTAAAGAAATATGTTTTAATGTCTGCTTCCACCCCTCAATCTCGGCTATGTCCCTGGGGCTCACCTTAGTGTAAGAGTATAATCACCGTGCATTTTCGTAGATGCGTCTCGTACCAAGAAGGTCCCGTCAGCTGTGTCTCGAAGTTTTTCATTCACTTCTTCCCTGAAATGAAAACGACACAAGACAAAGCTCACTTTGAAGATTCAGTTTTCATTTCTAAAACCGCCTTTGTTTTTTAGAGTTTTAACTTCACAGCAACACTAAGCGCAAGGTAGGTAGAGAGCGCCTCTTCACCCCTCCCCCGCCCCCTATAGATTACATGTACTGTTTATGTAGAAATGTTATAAATCTCATCTCATTACAGACTGGAAGCTAAACAAAACAAATATACCCACTTCCAGTACTGGTATATCTGTAGTACAAAGTTTTAATTTATTCTTTCACCAGACACACTGACAAACGAGCACAAAAAGACACGATCCCCCCAAAGGGACTCCTTACTCCCCCTTCAAAAAAAAAAAAAAAGCGATGAATGAAGATGCCTTTGTAAAGTAGGTGTCCGATAATAACACGAACCCTGACAGTTTTCCCTAATGGAAAGTGACTTTGAATCCTGCCTTTAAGCAGTGAACCTCCACCCTGGTGCTTTCCTGACATTTCTGTCCATAATGAAACTTGTTGAGTATTTAATTTCCCGTGGCATCCAGCACCCCCAATCCCCCAGCGCTCAGGGACTTCTTTGGTCTTCTCTGGAAGACAACCAACTATGCTTCATGCTTATGTTGGAGGATATCCTAAAAATGGAACTTAGCACGGTGGTGCGTTTCTTTCTCTAAAACTAGGACTCTCTTCTCTAGTGAAAACTCAAGAGTGCTTATCGCCTTACCTTGAGATATCTCCCCAGTACCATTCAGCATCTTGTAAGGACATATTGTTATTCATACCGTTGTTGGCTACAGTAGTGGGTTTTGGTGGTTTAGGAGGCAATGCTGCAGATGAAAGAGAAAGAGAAAGTTGCTGGCAGTGCCAACTACAGCTGAATGCTTAGGTCTAATTTAAGTCTCTTTAGAATACTGTGAAATACGGCAATAATTCACAATTCTATGAAACAGCATCATTTTGTTAAAAAGAAAAGAAAGTGGAAAAGAGAGAACAGCTTACAGGTTAACAAATAAACCGGGCTGGCCCTGTGAATGAATTTCAGAGTGAATCCAGAGTCCCGGCTTTTTCTACTTCTAGGCTCTAGTTATATTAAAGTTTCAGGCCTGATCAAATCCATCTAAAATAGGAAACCGTGAACATATGAGCAGGAAGCATCACATGGGTTGGCTTTAATTTCCTCTTCTTATTTAATTATAAAAGACAAATTTGGTTTCTGTCCTCCACAAATGCTGTTGCTGTAATAAAACTCATCCACAGCAATATGTTTTAAGAAGAGGAACTGGGTTTCTCTAATCTTAGTATTTCAGGCACTATTCTGCCAAAAACCACTTTAAGAAACTCATCTGTGACCTAAATCTCTTTAGTATTCACGTTAATATTCTTTTGGATAAATTGTGCTCTATATGCCAAGACTGAGGAAAAACCATATCCCCCTTCCTCAATGTCAAATCAGTATTCATATACCAATTGGTGACAAATAAAAGACTGCAGTGCTTCTGAATTTCTTAATTGGGAGCAGGGCTAATATTGGAATAGAATTTAGGAAGCAAAATAAGGCTAGCGTTTGTAACTGAATTCTAAGTCACAAGTTTTAAATTAAAGGACGATTAGTATTTTATGCAAAAATTTCAGGAGTCTATCAAGAATATTTTATAAAGGCTAGGACTAAATAAATATTTGAAGCCAACTCCTTTTCTCAGTACAGTATCTTAACATAAGAACAGGCAAAGTCTCAGCGTTTGATGTAGAAGAGTTTCAGGTCACCTAGGACTGAGTTGCAATCACTGCTAGGTTTTACATGCTTTCTACAAGTACCAAGTGTTATCACTGCAAAGTACCACACTGTCCTCACCCACTGTCAAAAGAGAAAAGCAGCACAAAGGACGCATCCTTTTAATTAAAGGAACAGTATGAACGATATACAACACTATAACCCAAATAGCAAAAGACCTCAATTAACAAAAGACACCAGTGAAAAACTGGAATTCAATTCCTATCTGTTCAAGTAAGAAAAAGCATTCACCACATACAGCCTGATCTGCTTGCTTCCACAGGCAAACAATTTCATGTCCAAGCTATGATCAAGCAAATTTTTATTAAATTACAAGTTAATAAATAGAAATCTAAAGAGGATCAGTTACAGTAGTTGTCAAAAAAAAAAAAAAAGCCACAAAATTAACTAGCTTTCTAAAAGAATACTGCAGTATTACCTGGTGGATCCATTTCTATATAAAACATCAAGTCTGTGCCACAATTTCTATCTGTCTTAGCATATTCTAAATCCAGGTCTTCCATATTCCAAACAGTGTTGTACATTTGTGCGAGAGTTTCCCTTGGCTGAGCTCAGTTATAAGAAAAGAGTCCGGCTTTCTTTGTAATGGTGTCTTGGAATTCATTTTAAAACCTATAAGGGGCTGCACTGTAACCTATTACATCACACACCCCAGCCAATCAAGTCAGAAAAATGTCACCAGACCACTCCTGCTTCATCATTTCTCTTCGACATCCAGCCCTAACACAATCCCCAACCTCGCTGAGAACCTACATTTACTAGAGCGGCAACGTATACATGCTCATCGTTTCAAAAAGGTGTTTAATTTGACTGTTCTCCTCCACCAGTGAGTTTTCTAATTCCTTTTTTATTACTCCTTGCAGCATGGTACGCTCCGCTGTTGGCAGGTTGACAAAAGCTGATATGCTGCAGCACGTAGCTTCCCCCGCCCCCCACCCCGTGCATCTGGGTTTATGGAGAGAGCCTGATCATGCCTTGGTTTAAAAATCTTACAAATGCATCAAAATGGTATATTTAAGGTATATTTTACAGCCCTTAAATACCTCCTGTATATGTTAAAACCAGAAGGGATTAAGAACTCTGGATATTTCATTTCATTCCTACAGAATTCACTGACAACTCAGAACTTAAACACTGTTACAAATGTACCACATGAGAAAGCACAATTAAAAGAAAAATCTCCTTCTACCAAACATAGTAAAGTTAAAACTAGACCTTAGGGATTAACAATGCAAAATCTTGATAGGAATGAAGACGTGTGTATTACTAGCAGAAATTTAATGTTACTAACAAGACTAGTCAAGGTTTTATCTTCCAAAAAGAAAGAGGCCGTATATCAGAATGCAGAGTAGAGGTAGCATGATGTTTGCAAACTATTTCTCACCAGTAGCACCAGAAGTCTGAAGATGGGCTTAATACTGCTTGAGGGGGGAGAGTGATGTAATCACTTTGGGGATTTTTTTCCCTCTATCTCAAATGCCTCATACTCTGGGGACCATTAATCCTGGTTAGCAATATTTAATGTAAGGAAATCAATTCCCCTACAGATCTATTAATTTTAGTTCTTTAAAGCCATTCTGCATATAATCTGGCCACCCTTACCAGAGCCTAATGTACATTCCCACTGTAAACCATCTCTCTACGTTTACAATATAAATCATAGGAAATAGTGGAGCAAAGGCAAGGCGTTCTCTGAGGACTGTTCACTTGTACCCTGTCTACCTGAATTCATTTCCCCATTAATGAGGAAGGCAGACTCAACCGATACCCTGCAGCCGGCTCCCAGGGACACTTTTCTATTCCTCAACTCAAAATCACACTCACACACACACACACACGGTCAAAGTGGGGGTGGGATATGTCCTCAGATAAGGTTCAGAAAAAAATTTTTTTTGTTTAATACAAATGTGTTTCCTCCCCCAAAAGGAGTCCCGCCAGCAGCTGTGGACAGGCTAACAGCCCAGAGGACCACCCCATGCCATTGGGAGCACTTGGTGCAAACCAGTCCTGCTGCTGGATCCCCTGTGCCAAACCGACCCGGGGTGCGAGGGGTGGGAGACAGGTGATTTTCCACCTCTCCAAGGCCTGGCCCGGCACCAACTTCCAGCCAAGCACTTTGTAATTACCTCCTTCCCCAATTCTAACCTAAACCCCATCTTTTCCTCCCACTGTGTCCCTCGAGGAAAGGAAAGGGGGGAGTGTCTCCGCTAATCTCTTATCTGCCCTCCCCAGACGGCACTTAATCAGTCTCGCTCACACACTCACACTCACACACACTCACACACACCCGCAAAGACAAACTACAGAAGGGAACCTTTCACAGAAGTACAAAAAGCAGAGCAGGGAAGCAGCGAGGGGGGCACAAGTGAAAGGCAACTTACTTTGCAGGTTATGCATGTCTGCAGTTTCCCGCGGCAAGGCCAGGATCCGACAGTGCAAACAATGCCCCCGGCTAGTCCTGCGGCCCCCGCGGCCCCCGCGGCCCCCGCTGCGTGGCGGTGCTCGCGCCGGCAGAGCGCAGGGGCAGGGGCGGCGGCGGCGGTGGCGGCGTGAGACCCTTGGGCTCGCGCGGCGCGACACGGACGCCGGGTCGGGACCGCCGCAGCAGCGCCGCTCACCGCCCGCTCCCCATGGAGAGAGCCACTGGATGCTGGTGCTGTCCGCGGGAGGGAAAAAGCCCCGGTGCTCGCACGGCTCGCAGATAAAGATCACGGCTTCATGATTAACTTGGGCAGGTTCAAATATTTGCTGAGCTAGGGATTTCGGGTGGGGGAGGGGAGCCCAAGTCAAAGTCAAAGTTGTCATCGGCTAACAAGTGGCCACTGCCAGCCCGACTCGCTCATTTTCGCCGAGGAAATGAGAAGGCCATTGTGAAGGGACCTAAAATAGTCTCTCTAACTGGCTGCGGCAGCGCGCGGGGCTCAAGTGGCCACAGTGAAGCAAGGCACTATGCACGGCCCAACACAGGAAGTGGCTGAGCTAGTTCAGCAAAAATAGAATCAAAGCCTTGCTTGTAAAGGCCTGAGCCTCTCCGAACGGCCCAGAACACCGTGCCTTGCCCGAGTCCACCTCGCCCTGCAGGTGTACCAGGAGAGCCCCACGGAGCGACTCGGCAGGGTACAGGTTTGAAAAAGGTCTGCTCCTGGGAGGAAGATCCCAGGGAAGACAACTGTAATTCTGCATGGATACTACACTCCACGACCACGTGAAGACTGGCAGAAAAAACCCACTATGCAGCTACTTTTATGGAGCCGACTTCAACCCAGGTTTAATTGGACATATGGTTGCCTAATAATTAAAAGGTGTGTCTGCATGAAGTTCACGTGACTGCTAAATGGCGCAAAGGATAGGGCCAGGAGAATGGTATGCCTTCCCAGAGGATTTCTGTCCTCTGCGAAAGTTGCAATGAAACAGACTAAAATTTGACCTAAGAAAATTTTCACTGGCATCCTCCTAAGATGGACGGCTTTACTGATATCCCCAGAATGGTAACAATGTAAAGTCACAGAATCACTAACTCTAAAACCAGAAAGTAATTCTCAAGAGCACTTCAAGAAATCCCTCAGGCTACACACACATAACCCCGATCCAGAGGGCAGAGGGGTGAAGCGGTTTGCCATGGGACCACGGCACGAGCACCACAACCTAGCCTTCAGACTTTTGGTCCTAAATTCCTTTTTCTCCACCCACTGGTCCTGGTCTTCACTTCCTTCTGCCAGAGAAAGTTAAAATTAACAAGTGAAACTGAAGTTAATTTCTTTTAGGCCACGTGTGAAAAATTTCACACGTATAACAAAACTGACTTTTCCTGTTTTCTATTTTTAGCTTATTTACTTTAAAAAGACCTTCTAATTATCTGTGAAGAAGCATGGTTCTATCTATAGTATTTACCCTCAGACTCTGCATAGGAAGGCGACCCCATGGTCCTGTGCAGAGCTAAAGGAAGATCTAGGTGCTGACATACAGTGCACGCAGGCAGGCCCCAGCTTGAGGATCACCTGCAGTATCTGGGAAGTGTGCTAACCTCATGATACA